TTTCATCGAGACAAAATAGCAAAAAACCCATGAAAAGGCCATAGTCTCCTCATTTTAGGCCCTTCCTCCTATCCCCTCTACCACTGAATTCTAAATCCCCCTCAATGTCTGAAATTAGCCTTTCCACTTCAGATATGTTTTTCTTATTTGTTCCTTCCCCCCCCCCCTTCCTAATACAACAATCATCCTTTTTCTTTTCTCCATCCTTTCCAGCCAATGTCTGAGGAAGATATTTACCCTGCTCACACTTATTTTGGCTACAGCATCTTTCTAAGAGTCCTTCCTTTTTTTTTTCCTCCATTGTACAAATCAGCTCCCAAATTCTGTCGGCCTCCCCCTTAGCTACTCGAACTCCATCCAATATCTTCCACAAATCAGCTCCCAAATTCTCATCTTGCGAAGTCAGATTCTTTGACACACGTAGAATTCAACTCCAATGTCCATGTCCATGCAATTATTTGCTATTGCATTATCTTGGGTCAATGGCCACATTGTAATTGTAATTTATTTAGTCCGTTGCAACTTACAATTAGATGTTACTGGGAGAATAGTTCTGAGCAGATGCTAAAGCATGCACTGGACTTGTGACTGCTAAAGCCCTTCTAAGACCTTGTTTTATGTGAAAACCTATACGTAAACCCTTAGTTTTTCCCCTTCAGTTGTTTTTTTAGAAGTTGATATGTTCGGATACACCTAGATCAAATTCTGTACAGACCACAAAAATACATGACAAAAGGTGCTCTTTGCAGTTTTTGGAACCTAGGAGGATAGCTTATGCTCTAGGTTAGTGCCTCATGTGAGATTCCTTAGGTGTGCCTCTGCCTTGCCCCCTTCCCCCCAAACCACAAAAAAGGCCTTGTCACCTAAGTGATGCCTTAATAACTATGCTTCTCTGTAATATCACCATACATCAGATGATATTGATTAAGCACAGCGTAGACTATAACGTGTTGAGTAAGAGATAGTCCAATTGAGGAGAAGTTGAACTTTGATGGTTGCTTGTTGTATAACGTAGTTCCTTGCAGGTTTCGTTAAAGTGTTTTGAGATGGTAATGGCATAATCATCGTCTCTTATATTAAGTAGGTTGGTAAAGTTGATCTAGAAGCTTCCTTTTTTCCTCTAAGGTCTGAGAGCCTTATCATTAAAGCAGATTCTTAGGTTGTGATAGAATGGATTGGAGACTTGTTCAGTGGCCTTATGAGACTTTCTTTATCATATGAAAGAGGCATGGTTTCTGGTCTTCAGATTGAATCCCTTCAAGTTGGTTCCAAGATCCATCAAATCAGCTGCTTAAACCTTAGGAAGGGGTTGTAACGAGGAATGGGTTGTTTTTGTGTCCTTCTCTGCTGAGTTGATTGTATTTTCCACTTCATAATTTATAAACAGGAGCCCATTTTCTTGTCCTTGGGCCGCTCGGCCCGCTCCTGGCTTCTTTTGTTGATCAATGAACAATCAAATTTTTATTAGATCTTTAAAAGAATTTTATTCGGCAGAAATGTGCCAAGCATCCATTTTTTGTTGACTAGCTACCTGCCTACCCCTTGTTTTTAAGGTCTGTTTACAACTTACTCCCCAATTCTGTTTGCTCCCAAAATAATTGATGCCTGTGGGCTCCCTGTTGAGCCAAGGCACCCACCATGGAATTGGCACTCTGATATGTCCAATGGAAGGTGACATTTAGTTCAGCTGCCAACTTCCAAACTTCACTTATGGTATTTATCTATATTTACAAGTTCTCATAATTTTATGCTGAACCATCCCACGACTCCCATGCTTGTAAATCATCATCATCATCATCATTAATGTAATAGTCATAGGCCTATCCCATCCATCTCCTTATGCTTCATCTAGATTGATAATACATGTACATGCATTCATGTAGGTTTCAGAATGTTTTAGCATTATATTTGATTTGATCTAAGAATATATCTACTGGTTATTTATATTCGTTTTATCATTGCAGGAAATTAAAGTTCTTAGCCAATTAAAGCATCCAAATATAGTGCAATTTTATGGTAGTGAAATAGTGAGTACTTCTCCAGTTTGGTGTTATTTCCATGTTTTTTCAGTCTTTTAATTCCATTATACCATTAGTAGTCGAATAGGACTGCAATCGATCCTAGGTATAATGTGTAATAAACAAAGAAAACAGATTGAGGAGAGAAGAAGAGGAGAAGAAGAGAAGGAGAACACGAAGAGAGGAATTCAGAAAGAGTGTGTCGACTAGGATTGTCGCCCCACTCAACTATTTATATTAATAATCAAATACAGAGTAAAAGGGCTGAATTACCTCTACTGCTTACATGGCAAAAGAAATAATAAAAGCCATAATAACTACCAACTGAAATAACTGCTGACTGAAACTAACTACCATCATAAATAAACAAACACAGTAGGGACCACATAAATATCATAGTGGGGACCACATTAATGTTCTCTACACCATTTGAAAAGTTAACTAATTTGCAGGCTACTGCTTAATGGATGCAGATTGAAGAACGTTTCTACATATATTTGGAGTATGTTTTTCCTGGTTCAATTAATAAATTCATCCGTGAGCATTGTGGAGCAATTACAGAATCTGTTGTTCGTAACTTTACCCGCCATATTCTCTCTGGGTTGGCCTACTTGCATAGCAAAAAGACAATCCATAGGTACATGATCCTATGCTTGATATTCTTTTAATTTTTTTTTTCAGTTATGATAAATAAAGGATAGCATTTGATAACAAAAAGAAAGAGGTATCATCAATTATAGATGTTTAAATTCATTCGCAACTATTCTTTTTATCAGTATTTTACAACATATGTATACCACCCATTTAAGAACAAATATTATGTTTCTACTATTACAAAAATTAGAAAATTTAATCCAAGAAAATATCATGTAGCAGCTCTTTTTCTCCCCATCAGCAATTGGGATTCCACTTCAAGATACCTGTTTAGAACCCTCTTTGACCTATTCGACTCCACGTGGCGCCTATCCTCCAAGCCATTCCTCTTGGCCAACACCGCCCCGCCACATGTCACCCAACTGTCCACCTCACCTTCATCGTTTTCCTTTCTCCTCCCTTCCCAGAAAGACGCTTCAACTTCCGAAGCGAGCCACACCTTATACCACACACCTTCAGATTTTAACAATCTTGGTATCTGATCCGGCAAAACTCCGACCACTTTTAACTTTGCAGCACTCAGGTTCTTGACGTTGAAAGCCAACATCAGACCTCCCAATGCAAGAGCACATTTATGAAAAATGGTTTCCTTCCATAAATGGAAAGGCAGACCACATAAGTTGAGGATGAAGGCACCACCGAAGGTCGGAATCTCATTTGACAGGGGGCACCACCTGTTTAACTCCACTACACCCTCTCTGTCTCAACATTTGAAACTTCCAAAACCAAACTTCCGACATCCAACAGAGCTTTATCCCCTGCAAAAGGTTTAAAGAGAACCACTCTGTTTATTGCAAGCTTCTCTGTCACATCTTTCAAATTATGTTCCCAAACTGGGGATTCTTTTTTTTGAAGTTATCACATATCTCCTCTCCCATTCTTCTTTAGCACCTTCTACAGAAAGTTTTGCTTCTGTAGCCAAGAACCAGACAGAATTTTCAACATTTCCAAGTGTATCCTAATAATTCACTGTCCACACTTTACATAAACTATCAAAGTATGTTTTTCTTATGCTTATATACCTCATTTATAATATTCTAAGACTTGGATGTAGTGTTATTGATGTCTTTTTTTGGGATTTATTTGAGTTTCCCTAGCATATCCATGTGTATCTTAATTTTCCACCGTATCAATGTGTATCCTGCATATCTCTTAAAATTGCTTTTCCGGTACTCTGTATTTCTGCTACCTTTGAAGTTTGAACTTTGGTCTTGTTTCATCCTTTCTGTATTAGTATCAAATTGAAGAATAAGTTAGAAGGAATGAAAATGCATCTAAAAGTGTAGGAAAGAGATACAGAAAGGGATCTCACCAATAACCAAGGGTTTTGATTAGAAGAAAACAAAATAAATGTGGTTTCTTCTTTCATTTACTAATTGTGAAACATGGAATGTTAGGGGATTGAAAATCCAAAAGAAAACATCCCATTAAACTCCAAATAAGAAAAGAAAAATTAAAAGTAATCAACTTATACCTGTCATAAGAGCTTTCTAGAAGATGACCGTGGTGTGAAGAAACAAAAGAAGATTGAAGCAATGAAATCCAAAAACATGAATTCTATTTTATACTGTGTTGAGATTGTTTGGGTGCTAGGGTATTCTTGTCTTTTTTGTTCTTTTGTTTTTGGGCACCCATATGAGGGATTACTTGTAATTTCTCTCAATAGTATAAAATCTCAAAAAATAAAAAAAAACAATAACTTTCTCATCTCCATTCAAAACCTCCTTTCTTCTTCTCTTCTCTTCTCCTCTTCTTTTTCTTGTTTTCTTTCTCAATAAAACCTAGATATTGCAACTTGGTTAGAGCAACTAGAAGGTCGTGGGAGAGTCTTTCTCTACTGGTTTTTGTTCGGAGGGTGAGTTGCTGACGTCAGACTGCCATCGGATGATATCAGTAGTCCATACAGGTGGCGACAAAAATCTCTTAAAATTGTATGGTTTGATTTTCCCTAACTTTAGATAAATTTTGGTATATGTCTCGTTGTGGTTTATTGCTTCTATGATTTGTTGTGGATTTTTCAAGTGAAAAATCGCAGAAATTCCAGATCTGGTTTAGAGGCTTGTTTCTCTTATTTGATGGGTTTTTATTCTGCAAAACCTGGTTCTTCTAGGTCATTTTATATTTTGGGAATGATGGGAACTGGCCTTGTATTTTTCTGAACCTTAAAAAATTTTTGGGAGTTTTTCTTCTCCCTCTATTTTATCGCCTATTAGCTTTTTAGCCCCTTTTCTAGCCTTTAACTGAGTTTGACCCTTCCTTTTGGGTTTGTTTGTATTTTGGTTGGGTGTTGGGGTGCTCCTTGGTTGTCAAAATAGTTGTTTGTGAGGTATGGAATCACCAAAAGATGTATAGATAGGTACCAATGTGTTTCCTGGAAATGTTGATGTTTCCAGTGGTATGATAAATTGATAACCACTGTAAAACTTGATGGGACCAACTTTCCAGTGGTATGATAAATTGATAACCACTGTAAAACTTCATTACAAGCAAGGAGGTGAAGCCGAAAATTGAAGACCTTAAGTTTGCAAAGTGGGAACAATATAACTCAATGGTAATGTCTTGGCTGGTCTGTTCAATGCAACCTTGCATTGCTTGTAACTACATGTTTCTCTCGACTGATAAATATATTTGGGACAGGGTTGGCACCACTTACTCACAGGTTAACAATACTACTACAGTATATCAACTTAGGAGAGGAGCTTGTAGTGTGCGCCAGGGGAAGGGAACAATGGCTATCTATTTCCCCTCTCTACAATCTCTTTAGGAAGAAATGAACCATTTGAAATCTTTCGAGTGAAAGGATCCTATAGATGCCAAGTAGTACAGGAAATACATTGAGGATAATAGGGTCTTTGACTTTTTGGTTGGCTTGAATCTAGAGTTTAATTTCGCTAGGCAACATATCTTGAGTGCGGGCATTGTATCTCTAGCTACTACTTACTCTCTTGTGCAAGGGAAAGAAAGTAGAAGGGCAGCCATGATGCAACCCTCTGTGATTGAACACTCTACCTTTGTGTCCTTTAAGCCTAGGCCAATTGGCAGTAAGCATCCTACTACTGAGAAGTCTAATGATGTCATCTGTGAATATGTCAAGAAGCCAAGGCATACTAAGGAAAGATGTTGGAAACTCAATCCTCAATTGAAACTGGACAAGCTTAAAACTGAAAGGAAAAGCAATGCTCATTTGACCACAATTGGTAACAAGGGTCAGTCTTTTGATGTGACCATTCAATCTCATGAATCCTCTGACATGATGGATAAACTTTGGAGTCTTCTATTGCACTTGGAAAAGGGTGCGGCATCCCCCTCATCTGGTTCTGGTAATCCATCTAGTGCATATGCTAACATAGGTACTGTACTTGCTTGTTCCACCTCCAACCCATGGATTGTTGACTCAGGGGCTAGTGCCCATATGACTGGTAGGCCTTCACACTACTTAATATAAGATAACCCCTGGGAGGGGCAAGATTACTGTTGCAGATGGATCTCAAACCCCTATCTCGGGTTAGGGAGAAGTCAAAACTTACCCATAACCTTTCCCTTGGATCTGTTCTTCATGTTCCTCAATTGCATAAAAACTTATTATCTGTCGGTTCTCTTACCAAGTCCTATAATTGTTCTATAATCATTTTTCCTACCCATTGTGTTTTTTAGGATCTGAGCACGAGGAAAATGATTGGAAGTGGGCATGAAATCGATGGAATTTACCTTTTTGATGAAGCTTCAAAATATGGATTGTTGAGCCATGATGAGTCCTGTTCTAATGAGAAATTGAGTCTTTTGCAATTGTGGCTTTGTCGTCTTGGTCGTATGTCTTTTAAGTCTGTAAAACTTTTGTTTCCAAATTTGTTCAGTTAAGTGTCCAATTTTAATCCTTAATGTGAAATTTGTCATTTATCCAAACAATGTAAAACCACATATTTTGCGAGTAATAGAAGAAGTAATGTTGCATTCCATTTAATTCATACTGATGTTTGGGGTCTATATACCATTCTGTGCATGGGTGGTATAGATACTTCATTCTCTTCATTGATGACTACACTCAATATACATGGCTCTACTTGATGAAACAACGTGATGAAGTTCCTATGATTGTTCAAAATTTCACGAATATGGTGACAACCCAGTTTGAGAAAAGAATTAAGATAATAAGATCTGACAATGCAAAGGAGTACTTCACCTTTGTGTGTTTCTTGAAGAACGGGGCACCATTCAACAGAGCTCATATAGTCATACTCCACAACAAAATGGGGTTGCTGAGAGGAAGAATACACATGGGGTTGAAGTTGCTCGTGGGTTACTGTTCCAGACTCGTGTTCCTATTTGTTTTTGGGGAGATGTTGTCGAGACTGTTGTGTTATTAACCGGCTACCATCAAAGGTGCTAATTATTCGGTCCCCTCACCAACTTCTTCTTCCTAATGGACCCACCTTCAGTTTACCACTCAGGTTCTTCAGATGTGTCTGTTTTGTTAATGATACGAGTCCTTCAAGACATAAAGATCCTAAGTCAATTAAATGTGTCTTCCTTGGTTACTCTCTTGTTCAGAAAGGTTATAGATGTTTTGATCCTCAATTTGGTCGGATGTATGTTTCAAAGGATGTTACCTTCCTTGAGTCCTCATCATTTTTTCAGTTATCCCGTTCGCCTCTTCAGGGGGAGATTGCCAATGAAGATCAAACTCCATTTTGCCTTCCTGTTCCTATTTCTGTGTCTACTAGTTCTTATTCCTCTCATCCTTGAAATGAGGGCATTCTTTCCCCTCCTCCTCCACCTCCTATGTGTCGGCCTCGATCCTGGCAGCAATTCTTCATCAAGCGCAATAAGAGGGTGGCTCTTGAAGTTGAATGCCCACCACAATCTAATCCCTGGACGGGTAATCTTGAACCTCTTGGTACTTCTATTGTTGACCCTGATCTTGATCTTCTTATTGGCCTTCGAAAGGGAAAGAAAACATGTATCAAGTATCCCATTACTAATTATGTGTCCTATGATGCTTTCTCACCCTCCTATTATGCCTATATTTCTGCCATCTCCTCTGTTTCTATTCCTCGCAATGTTACAAAAGTAGTGCAGTCTCCTCATTGGAAGGAAGTTATGAACCAAGAGATGGAGGCCATGATAAAGAACCAAACTTGGGAGATTGTGCCTTGTCCCAAGGATAAAGTTCTTGTTGGGTGTAAGTGGGTATACACTATTAAGCACAGAGCTGATGGTTTTATTGGAAGGTATAAAGCTTGCCTTGTGGCCAAAGGATATACCCAAACCTTTGGCATCGACTATTTAGAAACCTTTGCTCCTGTTACTAAGATGAATTCTATTTGTGTGAATATGTCACTTGCTACCCATTTTTCATGGCTTTTATATCAGATGGATGTAAAGAATGCATTTCTTAATGGGGACCTACAAGAAGTGTATATAGACTTACCTCTTTGGGTAAGCTTCCCTAACAGTGAAGGGAAAGTTTATCGTCTGAAGAAATCTTTGTATGGCCTCAAGCAATCCCCTAGGGCCTGGTTTGACAAATTTAGAAATTCTGTTTTGAAGATTGGATTCTCTTAGTCTTAGGTTGATCACACCTTGTTCATAAGGAAGTTCAATTCAATGGTCAATTGACTATGTTGATAGTATATGTTGATGACATTATTGTGATTGAGGATGGCATCTTAGGTATCTCTAAGTTAAAGTCCTTTCTTGCTTCAGAATTTGAGATTAAGGATCTCGGTGATCTCAAGTACTTTCTTGTAATTGAAGTTGCAAGATCCAAGAAGAGAATCTTCCACTCTCAAAGAAAGTATGTTCTTGATTTGCTCCATGAAGTTGTGAAATTGGAATGCAAGCTTGCAGAAACTCCAATCTCCCAATCACAAGTTAAGTACTACTGAAGGAGATGTTTTTCTAGACAATGGGGTCTTTTAGAGAGTGGTTAGCCGTCTTCTTTATCCTTGTTTGACTAGACCTAATATATTAATGCAGTTGGGGTGGTTAGCCAATATATGCATGACCCCAGAACCTCCCACATGAAGGTTGTTAATAGAATCCTAACATATTTGAAGGGATATCCTGATTAAGGGATGTTGTACTCCAACCATGGGCATCTAAAGGTTGAGGCCTACACAGATGCAGGCTAGACAAGGTCTATTGATGATAGATGATCTACATCTGGTTGCTCTGCCTTAGTTGGAAGTAATGTTGTTTCATGGAAAAGCAAGAAACAATCAGTTGTTGCTCGATCTAGTAGGGCAATGGCCCATAGAGTGTCAGAGTTACTCTAGTTGAAGACCTTATCGATCGAGATAGGCATCCAAGCCGATACTCCAATGAAACCCTATTGCGACAATCAAGCAGCCATAAACATTGCCCACAATCCTGTGCAACATGACCATACAAAACATATTGAAGTGGATAGAACTTTCATCAGAGAGAGGATAACAAGTGGAGAGATTTGCCTATCCTTTGTAAGGTCAGAAGACCAACTAGCTGATTGTCTCACTAAAGGCCTTCATCATCCAAAGTTTGCCAAGAACTTAGACAAGCTGGGCATGATTGACATATATGGTCAGCTTGAGGGGGAGTGTTTAGATTGATTGGGTGCAAGGGTATTTTTGTCTTTTTTGTTCTTCTGTATTTGGGCGGCCATATGAGGGCTTACTTGTAATTTCTCTCAATAGTATAAAATCTCAAGTTTGAGAGAGTGAACAGTAACGCTCTCTTCTCCATTCGAAACTTTCTTTCTCTCCTTATCTTCTCTTCTCTTCTTCTTGTTTTCTTCCTCAATAAAACCTAGATGTTGCAACTTATTGAAAAACAGAGCATTGTCCAAATGGATAAGCATATGTGGGGTACCTGTAGTTGTATGGCTCATGTGATTATGTGGATGCTAAAGAAGGCAACCGTTTGGTTTTGGTAGTAGAAAAGGGTAAGGGGTTTGGAAGTTTATAGACTTGTTGTCAATCTGTTTCTATGAAATGCCATAGAAAACTTGTGCTTCCCTTTCTGTGTTATGTTTTGAATTTTGTGATTATATTGTTTGTTTTCTGGACACATTTTAATATGCAAAATTTAATGTGTATATTTTAGGGACATCAAAGGGGCAAATTTGCTTGTTGATGCATCTGGTGTTGTCAAGCTTGCTGATTTTGGGATGGCAAAACATGTAAGTTTTAAATTTCTGAAACATCTAATAGTTCATATATTTAATGCATTTCCTTGTTTTTCTTGATTGGTAGCTGACTTATGAAACATTCTTTTATTACTTCCTACTAGTAGTGTTTTGATGTTTGTTAGTTTTGTCCTTTTTGGTGTCAAAAGCTATAGCAGTGGTTGGGATCTTTGGTCACATATCTATATAATAGTCTGTGCATGGATACTACTTGAATGGTCTGTTAGTTTGAATTAACTAAAGTTCTTTTCTTTTTTCCTTATGTTCTGTTTGTTTGCAATGCAAATCTGAACTGGATAAAAATTTTGTATCTGACCCCATATAGTTGGGATAAGGCATGGATGATGATGATAAAAATTTTGTATCCGGTTCAGTTTTGTATCCATTTATTTTTGACTATGATTTGCACCTTTTATCTCATTTGCACTTATTGGCAGTGCATATTTTGCATAAAAAACTGACAGAATTTGTAAAAGCTTCTTTCTCTCATATATGGTGGGCAATGGGGACCACCTCATTTTGCTTCCTGTCATACTCCTATAAATAACCTTTCTCCTCTCCATTCTCTTTTATATTAAATGGAGACAACCTCATTTTACTTCCTAATTTACTTCTCACAAACAAACAAGGTAATGCCAAATCTGAGGCAAAAATAAACTAGATACATTCAGTCCATTTGCACTCCCATGCATTTACACCAGTGCAAATTTCTCAAACAAACAGTCTTAGGGACAGATACAATATTAAGGTTCTGCCTAACCATCAACTGATCTGAAGTGAATGGATTTCTTTGGGACTCCTAATTAAAGTTATTTTGCAACACTGAATCATATTGATATCTGAGATTGTGAAACTTTAGGTGTTACCCTTTCTGTGAAGTTGTTGTTATGATCTTTATTTTTTTCTTCAAGTCAAATTTGTGATGTAAGTTTCTTTTTCTTTTTTGCCTAATAGTTTTTTTATTTGTTTTGTTATTTAGCTTGATGGACATGCAGCTCAGCTCTCTTTGAAGGGAAGTCCCTACTGGATGGCCCCAGAGGTATCTTCTGTGGCTGTTTCTTTAAAAATACTGAAGATAGTTCATATCTCCCTTGCTCTGACACTTGTTTCCTTTGATACAGGTCATACATTCTATGATGAAGAAAGATACAAATAGTGATCTTGCTTATGCTGTTGACATTTGGAGTTTGGGCTGTACTGTTATTGAGATGCTGAATGGCAAGCCTCCTTGGAGTGAGCTTGAGGGGGTGAGAATACAATTTAAACCACTATGCAATATGCATTCTTTGTCATGGGCTGAAAAATTTCAGATGTGGCTATGATGCAAAAGAGTTTTCTATTAATAATACAATCCAGTTTAATAGGGAGAAAGGGTGGTATTTTTTATACTCGTGTATAAAAAAAATGAGGTACACATGGGTGGATGCTCATCAATGTACAAAATGTGCAATAGCATCTAACCTCCAACATACACATACACATGCATAAAAGGTAGATAAAGAGATGTTGCTATACAAAAAGATCTTTTCCATGCCCTGATCTAGCTTATGCATACACCACTGATTACCTAATCCCTCTGACAACCACTGAATTTTCATTTAGTGTCTCTCTAATCCTTAGCTCTACCTAATGCATTTGCAGAGTCCCCTTCCACCACAAGCAAGGCAACATTTGTTTGTTTTGCAATCTCAGATCCCATAAGTAGTTTTTTTTTTTTTTTTTCAAAAACAATCACCTTCTAAATTCTGCATATCAAATGGAGTCGCTAAGTGATCAGGTTTGAGAAATGCTCTTCCAATAATTGAAGGGCTGTTGCCTTGGGATATCCCATCGAATTGAAGCCTGGCTTCTCCTTGTTTCATTGGTGAGATAGGCACCATTGCAAGAGGAGTCTCAGGAGAGGAAGTATTGCTGGCAGACTGTACTTTCATTATGGTCCAGTTCTAAATTGTAATAAATATTGGGGCTTTGCAGTATTAGTTAAAGAAATTTTTGAAAGAATTCTTTTGAAATGGGCTTCTATGAACAGTCAGTTTAGGGGTCTGAAAGTCAACTACTTTGCTAAAGAAGAAAATCAGTCCTCTAAAACTGATATAAACTTGATTAAAATTAGAGAGAAAAGTGAAAGAAAGGTATAAGATAGCAGTACAAAGGAAGATGGAGAAAAGAAGAGGAAGAAGAAGAAGAGTTCGATAATCTCCTCTCTCCCCTCTCTAATCCTTTTGTTAATCTTCACTATCTAAGTTAATTACAAGTATGCCCTTAAGTGGGTGGCCAGCTAAGCAAGAACTTAAAATAAACTTATAAAGAAGCAACAGGCTCATAAAGACAAGCCCATTAACAAACAAATAAATAACACACAACAAAAAATAAAAGAATAGATACTAGGGCCCATTCGGCTCAGTCTCTCTACACTCCCCCTCAAGTTGAGCGTAGATGTCAATCATGCCCATCTTGCTTATATAGTGTGTCATCTTCCCTCTTGGATATCCCTTGGTCAAAACATCAGCCAACTGCTCTTCTGAAGAGATAAATGGCAAGCAAACTTCCCCTGAGGCAACTCTTTCCCGTATAAAATGTTTATCAACCTTGATGTGCTTAGTTTTGTCATGTTGAACGGGATTATGTGCAATGTTGATAGCTGCCTGGTTGTCACAACAGAGCATCATTGGCTTTTCATAGTCAACCCCCAACTCTTCTAAAAGTGATTGTAGCCACAGTAATTCGGACACACCATGTACTCTGCTTTAGTAGATGATCTGGCAACTACAGACTGTTTTTTACTCTTCCATGAGACAATGCTCCCTGCCACCAAAGCACACTATCCCGAGGTGGATCTTCTATCATTAATACATCCAGCCCAATCAACATCAGTGTATGCCTCCAGCTTCATGTGTTCATGCTTGGCAAATAGAATACCTTTCCCTGAAGTACCTTTCAAGTAACACAAAATTCTTTCTGCAATAGCTAAATGTGTATCTCTAGGAGAATGCATAAATTGATTAATAACACTCACTGGATAGGAAATATCTGATCGAGTCATGCAGAGATATAACAATTTCCCAAGCAGTCTCTAAAACACTCCCCTACCAAACAAAAGTTCACCATTAGTAACAGAAAGCTTATGATTGGGATCTATAGGGGTGGAGGCCGGTTTAGCACCAAGTTTACCAGTCTCTGCAAGGATGTCAAGAACATACTTGCATTGAGAAAATGAAGATACCATCCTTAGACCTAGCAACTTCAATTCCCAAGAAATACCTGAGATCTCCTAAATCCTTGATCTCAAATTCAAAGTTAAGAAACCTTTTGAGTTTACTCACTTCTTGGGTGTCATTACCCGTGACCACAATGTCATCAACATAAACAATCAGAAAAGTCACCAAAGAGTTACTTCTTTTCAAAAACAAGGTATGGTCAGATTGAGTTTGTATGTAACCAAAGGAGACAAGAGCAGCCCTGAATCTCTCAAACAAAGCCCGAGGAGACTGTTTGAGGCCATAAATGGATTTTTGCAGTTTACACACCTTCCCTTGCATTTCCTTTCCATACACCCTCGGAGGCAAAGACATATAGACCTCTTCATGTAGGTCTCCATTCAAGAAGGCATTTTTAACATAAAATTGGTGGAGAGGCCAATCAAAAGTAGCAACTAGAGACAACAAAACTTGAACTGAGTGTAGCCTTTAGCAACCAATCGGGCCTTAAACCTCTCATTAGTGCCATCAAAATGGTATTTAATGGTAAATACCCATTTACAGCTTACTGGTTCCTTCCCTTCTGGCAAATCCACAATATCACAGGAATGGTTCTTATGCAAAGCATTTAGTTCAGCCTTCATAGCATCCCTCCATTCAGGTTTAGATAGGGCTTCTGGTACACACTTGGGTATCACATGGGAAGAGACAGAAGCAAGAAAAGAGTAATAGGTAGGGGATAGAAGGCTACAAGACAATTGTTTAGAGATACAATGTGTTGTACACTTTCGCTTGCCTTTGCGAAAGGCAATAGGAAGATTAAGGTCTGGGAAGGAAGTAGATGGGTCAGAGGAAGGCTGACCTGCTACTTTAGTAATGATGGGAGGAGCAAGAGGCTCTTTTGCAGGAGTAGAAACAACTTTCCAATGCCTGAATCTGTGTCTTTGGTACCACCTTTGGGGAACAGGATGTGAGGGAATTATAGGACAATGAGGTGGAGGAGGAGGAGCAGGAACACTTGAGGTAGACACAGTGGGAGGAGAGGATAACTCAACAAAGGACTCAAAAGGAACAAGAAGAGGAACAACTGGAGACAATAGCAAAGGGCTCCTAAAATTGCTCCGCCTTGGGAGAAATACTAAAGAAAGGAGTAGACTCAGCAAATGTGACATCCCGAGAGACAAAGCGGGTGCCACTAACCGGAGCAAAACAGAAATATCCCTTCTGTATGGAGGCATATCCTAGAAAAATACACTTACTTGCCTTTGATGGCTATGAGCATGTACATAGCAGGTGCAACCAAAAACTTGGAGAGGAAGAGAGAAAAGATCCTCATTCGGAAAGAGAAGGTTAAATGGGGTTTTGAAACCCAAAACTCGGGAAGGCGTATGATTAATAAAAAAGGTAGCAGTAAGGACATCATCTCCCCAAAATTTAATAGGAACATGAGATGCAAAAAGGATGGATCTAGCAACCTCAACCACATGACGATTCTTCCTTTCTGCCACTCCATTCTGTTGTGGAGTGTAGGAACAAGAACTTTGATGAATAACCCCAAAAGTCTGAAAATAGGATGAGAGGTTCTTTTCAAAATATTCCTTAGCACTATCAGAACATAATATTTTGACCTGGGTGTTAAACTGGGTAAGGATAAGTTCATGAAGTTTTTGCACAATAGTCGGTAATTCTTCCCGAGATTTCATGAGATAAATCCAAGTGTAACGAGAATAATCATCAATAAAAAGGATAAAGTCCTTATAACCCCCCATAGTAGGCAAATGATATGGTCCCCACACATCAGAGTGCTCAATATGAAAAGGAGAAATAGGTCTTTTATTGCTTGCTGAATAAGATTGTCTACAATGCTTTGCAAATTCACAAGACTCACAATGAAGACTCGATAAAGACACTTCCTTAAACATATTGGGAAACAAATGACTCAAAGCAGAAAAAGGTAAATGACCAAATTGGAAATGACATAACATGACTCTATCAACCAACTTTGACAAAATTGACTCCAAGGCTACTCCATGAGGTGGTCCAAGACTCCTATCAGGTGTGTCCAACAAGTATTCAATTCGCCTCATGGCCACTCCCAATCATCCTTTGAGATTTCAGGTCCTGAAAAACATAATGGGTAGGAAAAAAGGTTATGCTACAGTTCATGGATTTAGTTAAGTTGTTAACAGCTAAAAGATTGGTATTATATTAGAACTAGTGTCCCTCAAGTAAGGGCACATGTATCTTTTCCATTATGTTAGTAATATAAAACATGTCTGGCCGAATGGGAGAGGTAATTGTTCTCTCATTCGAACCAGAACTCAAGGGAAGGCCAAATCATAATATGATATCAGAGCTCAACTAAGCAACTCGAATCTGCCCAGATTTCTATTTTCTGCACACTCAGTCTAGGGTTTTCTCTTGATTTCTCTGCCATCGATTGGAGATAAGGGAAAGGGCTGAAAAGGAGTGGTCGCCCTCTTCCCTTGGAGGTCTCTATGCATCTAGTTGTGTTGTTCATGGTCGGTTGCTGTGGTTTCTAAGAAGCCCTCCCCTAATCGATGAAGAGAAGAGGGTTGATTCGTGTGGTGCAGTGGGTGGTTTGTTTTTCGAGTGATGAGGTAAGAGATTTCTATGCATATTTTTGTTATGAATCAAATAAGAAGTATGTTTCAGATCGTATGGTGGGATTTCAGATTGTAGTGTGTTAGGGTTTATGCTGTTTTAAGTGTGATTTGAAGGGGGAGTGGTCCTCATATAGTGTGGTGAGATTTCAGGTAGTCGTAGGGTAGGGTTTGTGGTATAAAGAATGCAATCTTCAGCAATAACAAGTGTTGAAACTAGTGTGATCAGTGTGATCAAGTAGTGTGCAGTGTGCCGAATTCAGTAATAACAGAATTCAACAATGGAAGATAGCAGTGATAGCAAATATAATGTGATGATACCTATTGACTACCTGAATGTTCAAATGACATCCATTAAACTGAATGGAGAGAATTATGTACCTTGGACTAAATCTGTAGAAGTTTATCTGAAGGCAAAGAAGAGGG